TCTTCATGAGCACCGTTCTATTGGTCAACATGGCTCCTGCTCACTGTCCTCCTATAGAAGTGGTTCTCAACCTGGGGTCCCCACATGTTTTTGGCCTACAATTCTCAGAAATCCTAACAAATGGTAAACTGGCTGGGATTTCTGGGAGTTGTAGGCCAAAAACATCTGGAGACCCAAGGTTGAGAAGCACTGTCCTATAGCCATGGACTGGTGGCTTCAGACACTGAGAACGTGGCTCTTTCTTAAGGGAGGGATTCGTCCAGCATGAGGGAAAGTCCTCGAGGACTGGATGGCCCATGAGGTCTCTTCCAACTCTATGATTCTATGAGAGGAGGGAGCAAGCTTCCTTTCTGCTGCCCTGGAGACTATGACACAATGGAGCCATGGCTTCAAACTACAGGAAAAGAAGGAGATTCCATCTGAACATGAGAAATAACTTCCTGACTGTAAGGATAGTTATTTAGCAGTGGAACTCTCTCTCTGCCTGTGGTGGAGGCTCCTTCTTTGGAGGCTTTTAAGCAGAGGCTGGATGGCCATCTGTCAGGGGTGCTTTGAATGTGATTTTCCTGCTTTTTGGCAGAATGGGTTTGGACTGGATGGCCCACCAGGTCTCTTCCAACTCTAGGATTCTACGATTCTAGGAGACCCAAACCAAATCCCGCCTGCAAACTCTCCTCCTTGCTCTCGCCTCCAGTGCATGTAAATAAACTCCACAGGAAGCGCCTATCTATCCTGTTTGTAGCGGCACCAATTCATCCTCCAGCGGTGATTAAAATGGGCCATAAATTCTGAAGGACTCTCAGTGGGACAACGAGAAGCGAAGGCATGGGCAGCCCTCCTGTTGCCAGCGCCTCCTCTGCCAGCGCCGACACTGCCTTGCCCCAAGCGCGGCATCCATCACAGAGTGCCTTCCGTTTCATGCTTCCTTCGGCAACACCATCCATGCACAAGGCTCTGATGGGTTCACGTCAGAAACCTGGAGATGGTTTGATTTCTAAAGGGCTGCTTCTCTCGATGGAGGAGGGCTCCAGAGGCCTATTAAACTTCCGAAGGCCTTCTCCCTCTCCTTCCTTTCTCCTCGCAGAGATTTAAGGATCTGGCTCCTGATGGTTCCTTTATTTACATACGAAACGGGTGCCTCTGTCCTTTGGTGGGTTGCCGGAGGCTCAGCCGATCCTACAATTAGGATTTGCCATGCTTTATGTATTCGTCCTGTTATATCATATTGTGACTTCATGCTTGATGTATATCATACGTAGTTTGTTATGGAGCGTTGCGTTCTTCATCAATTGCTGTACTGCTGCGCTCTATTGACAAATGGATAAGTTGCTAATGGGAATTTCAATTGTTGGTTCTTGACTGCCTTTCCCATCATCTGCCAGGACATGTTTCTCTTCTTCTACCGTTTGTTGAATTTATGGCCCACTCCCCCTGAAGACGCAGGTTTGCAGCTTGGGGGTGATCCTGGACTCATCGCTGAGCTTGAGGTCTCAGCGGTGGCCGGGAGAGCTTTTGCACAACTAAAACTTGTGCACCAGTTGCGCCCGTACCTTGGGAAGCCAGATCTGGCCACGGTGGTCCACGCTCTCGTTACATCCCGATTAGATTACTGCAACGCACTCTACGTGGGGTTGCCTTTGAAGACTGTTTGGAAACTTCAGCTAGTCCAGCGGGCGGCAGCCAGATTACTCACCGGAGCTTCATACAGAGTGCATACCACTCCTCTGCTATGTCAGCTCCACTGGCTGCCGATCCAGTTCCAAGCACAATTCAAAGTGCTGGTTTTGACCTACAAAACCCTATACGGCTCCGGTCCGGTGTACCTGTCCGAACGCATTTCCCTCTACGTCCCACCTCAGAATCTGAGATCATCTGGGGAGGCCCTGCTCTCGACCCCACCTCTATCACAAGTGAGGCTGRTGGRGACAAGGRGCARGGCCTTCTCRGTSGTGGCCCCTCACCTGTGGAATTCGCTCCCGGGGRAGATCAGAYCAGCAACATCCCTCCTCTCCTTTAGAAGRAAATTAAAAACATGGTTATGGGACCAGGCCTTCGGGCAACCTGGCAGCTAAGGACAATGGACGACTAGAATTAACAGGACTGACAATGTGGAATTGAAACTATGGACTATGGGAAGTGTTACATATGTGACTCTTGGCTTTTAAGTCCTGATTCTTCCCCTCAAAAATGGCCCATTCCCCCAGGTCTTCTCTTTTAAGATACAATACAAGAGGCAATGCTAAACGCTSAATGCTAAACTGGTTTATTGACGTGTTGTAGAACTGAGAACCGACCGTTTAATTGTTTTTAACTGTTTAATTGCTGCTATACTGTTTTTATTGTTGTATTGTTTTGTATTGTTGTATTGATGCCGGCATCGAATTGTGCCTTTGTAAGCCGCTCTGAGTCCCCCTCGGGGTGAGAAGGGCGGGGTAGAAGTGTCTAAAATAATAATAAATAAATAAATTTGTTTCACTTGCAGAAGCCCTCTGCCTCCTGATTTTCTGGAACAACAACTTCCATGGTAGTCCACACTCTGGTTACATTCCGAATAGGCTACTGCAACATGCTCTATGTGGGGTTGCCTTTGAAGATGGTTCGGTAGCTCGAACTGGACCAATGAGTGGTAGCCAGTCTGCTCACTGGAACAGGGTACAGGGAGCATACAACCCCCGTTACACCAGCTCCACTGGCTGCCAGTCTACTACTGAGCACAATTCAAAGTGCTGGCTTTAACCTATATAACTCTAAACAGTTTCGCCCTAGCTTACTTGTCCAAACCTATATCCCTCTACGAACCATCTTGGAGGTTAAAATCATAGTAAAATATAATAATATTGATTATTATATATTACATGTAGGTAAAGGTAAAGGTTGTCCCTTGACATTAAGTCCAGTCGTGTCCGACTCTGGGGAGTGGTGCTCATCTCCATTTCTAAGCCGAAGAGCCGGCATTGTCCATAGACACCTCCAAGGTCATGTGGCCAGCATGACTGCATGGAGCGCCGTTACCTTCCCGTTGGAGTGGTAACTATTAACCTACTCACATCTGCATGTTTTCGAACTGCAAGGTTGGCAGAAGCTGGAGCTGACAGCGGGAGCTTACGCCGCTCCTCGGATTCGAACTTGCGACCTTTCGGTCAACAAGTTTAGCAGCTCAGTGCTTTAACCCACTGCATCACAAGGGGCTCCATTACATGTAGTATTACAAATAATATTACATGTAGTATTACTAATAATATTACAGTATAGTGGTATAGTACAATACTTATATTGTGCTATGCTAATAATATAATGCATGTACATATAACTTGTAAGCTGCTCTGAGTCCCCTTCAGGGTGAGAGAGGGCGGGGTATAAATATAGAAAATAGTAATAGTATGGATTGTCGATGTTGCAATCCCAGGTGACAGCAGGATTGAGGAGAAACAATTGGAAAAGCTGACACGATATGAGGATTTGAAAATTGAACTGCAAAGACTGTGGCACAAGCCAGTCAAGGTGGTCCCAGTGGTGATTGGCACACTGGCTGCAGTGCCTAAAGATCTTGGCCTGCACTTAAACACAATCGGAGCTGACAAAATTACCACCTGTCAGCTGCAAAAGACCACCTGACTCAGATCTGTACACATTATTCACCGATACATCACATAGTCCTAGACACTTGGAAAGTGTCTGATGTATAATCCAATACAACAGCCAGCATAGTGGTCTTGTTTGCTGTGCACTCATCTTGTTATGTATCTAACAACGACCCTGTTTACCTCTCCGAACGTATTCTCCCCTATGAACCATCAAGATTATTAAGATCGTCTGGAGAGGCCCTGCTCTCGGTCCCACCAGCCTTGCAAGAGCGTCTGGTGGGGACGAGGGACAGGGCCTTCTCGGTGGTGGCCCCTCGACTCTGGAACTCTCTCCCACTGGAGATCAGAACCGCCCCTTCTATCCTGACATTCAGGAAGCAGGTGAAGACGTGGTTATGGAGACAGGCATTCGACGAGTGAGCCAACACCCTGAGATATGGATGGAGGATGATGAACACCGATTTTAGTGGGACGACTGACCATTGTATTTATTGAATGTAATTACTGTTTTAATGTTTTATTGAAATATGAAGTATGATGTTTTATTGACTGTATGTGATATTATGGTTGGAAATCGGTCTGAGTCCCTCAAGAGAGGTGAGAAGGTCAGTATACAAAACTTTTAAATAAAAATAATAATAAATAAACAACAACAACAACATACTTTCATTGGAAGCCACTTTGGGTCTCCTTTGGGAGATATAATAATAGTAATAATAATAATAATAATAATAATAATAATAATAATAATAATGATGTCATACTTTTCATTGGAAGCCACTTTGAGAACTGGTAAAGGGATCATAAACCTGCAAAGGTAGTGGAAAATGAAAACGCAAAAATCCTGTGGGACTTTTGAATCCAGACTGACCAAGTTTTGGAACACAATACACCAGGCATCATGATTGTGGAAAAGAAAAAAGTTTGTATGATTGATGTCGCCATAAGAGGTGACAGTCGCATTGAGGAAAAACAACAGGAAAAACTCAGCCGTTATCAAGACCTCAAAATTGAACTGCAAAGGCTCTGGCATCAACCAGTTCAGGTGGTCCCAGTGGTCATCGGCACACTGGGTGCTGTGCCCAAAGACCTCAGCCGGCATTTGGGAACAATAAACATTGACAAAACCACGATCTGTTAACTGCAAAAGGCCACCTGAGTTGGATCTGCGTGCATTATTCAAAAATACATCACACAGTCCTAGACACTTGGGAAGTGTTCGACTTGTGATTTTGTGATACGAAATCCAGCATAGAGATCTCGTTTGCTGTGACATACTGTGCTTTTGTGTCAGTAAAATAATAATAATAACAACAATGATAAAAGGCCAGCCTTCTTTGGGGGCTACAATGAGCAAAGGAGGCACCTGCGGATTCATCTTGGAGTGACCCTCCATCCTTCCTTTGGGAGCCTCACCTTTGTTGCGGAGGCCTTCAGGAGCTTCATGACCTCTCCCTCCCGGGCATAGTCCATGGGCGTGTGCCCCATTTCGTTCCTCTGCAGGGGGTTGCCACCTGAAAGAGAGGAAGGCGAGAGGAAGGGGTGAGGCTCAGCCAACGCGTGGGACGGGGGTCCAAGGAGGGGGCGGCTCACAGGGTCCTGCGTAACCTTTGCTCCCAGCAAGGCCTGGACCGGAAAGGGACAATATGCTACCAGCAGCGACACGAACGGTGTCCAAAGGGGTCACAAAGGGGAAATGACACCGCAGATAATAGGCTTTGATGAGGGAAAGCTGCTCCGAGAACAGGAGTCGTGTGCAAGGGAGAAAAGAACGGCGCATGGTATTGGAAAAGCAATGCTCCCCACTTTGCGGGTCAACAGCCCCTCACTTCCCTGCTGTGGCTGCTAATATTGAGGCCAATAAGGGAAGAAGGTGGGGAGAGGACGAAAGCAACCAGCCCTCCATACAGCAACCTCCTCTGCTCCCCCGTAATCAAACTCTAACCTCCCTGTTGCTCTTCCTCCTCCATGTGAGCTGCCGTTCCTCCAAATGCGCCATAGACCTCCAGAGATGTACTAATCGCCATTCACACCCCTTTCATACTAAACCTACTACAGTCAACCCTCCACATTTGCAGTTTGGGTACAGTGATGCCTTGAGATAAGAGTTTAATTTATTCCGTGACCAAGCTCTTAACCCAAAACTCTCAAAGTGAATTTTCCCGCTGAAATGTATTGAAATGCTATTAATTCATTCCCCCGCAAGCCCCCCCCCCCAATTTTGGAATGGCCTCCCTAGAGAAATTTGGTTAGCTTAGATATATTTGCATTATTGCAATTGGTGGATATCAGTCTCTCCTTTTATATGGCAACCCATCAAGTTCAACGGGACGACAAAGAGGACATCAACTTCAGACTTGTTTCTGAGATAAGCTTCAACAAACCTTCCTCCACAGAGGAACAATGGGATGCAGTACCAAGCTTGTTTCTACATTGGGATCCCCATATAGAAAGGATGATGATGATGATGATGATGATGATGATCATCATCATCATCATCATCATCATCATCATGGCGATGGCATTTAAACCCAATGAGCTAAACCAGACAACATGATTTTGAGCCCTGGAAATTATTCTGGAAACTTTCCCCAGATATTTTCCAGTGCCGTTTTCTGGGAAACGCATGCTATGGCTGACCCGTCTGTCCAGAGAACCAACCTAGAATCATAGAATCAAAGAGTTGGAAGAGACCTCATGGGCCATCCAGTCCAACCCCATCCTGCCAAGAAGCAGGAATATTGCATTCAAATCACCCCTGACAGATGGCCATCCAGCCTCTGTTTAAAAGCTTCCAAAGAAGGAGCCTCCACCACACTCCGGGGCAGAGAGTTCCACTGCTGAACAGCTCTCACAGTCAGGAAGTTCTTCCTCATGTTCAGATGGAAGCTCCTTTCTTGTAGTTTGAAGCCATTGTTCATCCTAGTCTCCAGGGAAGCAGAAAACAAGCTTGCTCCCTCCTCCCTGTGGCTTCCTCTCACATATTTATACATGGCTATCATATCTCCTCTCAGCCTTCTCTCCTTCAGGCTAAACATGCCCAGCTCCATAAGCCGCCCCTCATGGGGCTTGTTCTCCAGACCCTTGATCATTTGAGTCGCCCTCCTCTGGAAACATTCCAGCTTGTCAATCTCTCTCTTGAATTGTGGTGCCCAGAATTGGACACAATATTCCAGGTGTGGTCTAACCAAAGCAGAATAGCATGACTTCCCTAGATCTAGACACTAGGCTCCTCTTGATGCAGGCCAAAATCCCATTGGCTTTTTTTGCCACCACATCACATTGTTGGCTCATGTTTAACTTGTTGTCCACGAGGACTCCAAGATCTTTTTCACACGTCCTGCTCTCGAGCCAGGCATCGTCCCCCATCCTGTATCTTTGCATTTATTTCATGCACAGAAGTCTTAACAATATTGTATAAAATCATTTTGAATTCTCCTCCTGTCTTCTGGAGTCTTGGCTCTCCCTCCCCATTTGGTCCCATCACGCCTTCTAACCCTTCCTAAGTCATTAAGAAAGATCCTGAGCAGGACCGGTCCCAGGAAGGAACCCTGCTTTTGGCACTCCGTTCGTCACTTCTTTCCAGGATGAAGAGGAGGAAGCCTTGGGGAGAATCAACAAACCTTCTTTCACAGAGGAACCATGGGATGCCCCACCAAGCTTGTTTCTACATTAGGATCCCCATATAGAGATGATGATAATCATGGTGATGACATTTAAACCCAATGAGCTAAACCAGACCACATGATTTAGAGCCCTGGAAACGTTCCCCAGATATTTTCCAATGCCATTTTCTGCAGCTGATTGCTGTCTGTCCAGAGAACCAACCTGCAAGGAAACCAGCAGACAAAGCCTGATGCTGGTTGATAAAACCATTTGTGCACTCATCATTCAAAAAGATGCAAGGCAAAGCAACAGGTGGATATGGGAGATGTGTTCAGCACTTTCCCTATACAACCGAGCCGTGTTGTGTGTGAATCGTAGCACCCCTTCCTTCCCCATTCAGCCCCAAGCACAACGCCTTGGATTCTCTGCTCCCCGAAACCCAGGAGAGGAAGAAGGAAAGAGCAGGGCAGACATTAGCTATTTCCAAGAGCCGGCATAAAGAGATCTATATTTGCTTACAGAATGAAAAATGCGCTCCATAAACCTCCGGCGGAGAGTAATTTCGGTTGTGAGCCCTTGTCACATCCAATAAGGGATATGATTGGGACGAGGGAGATGATACACCGACGGTCGGTCGCAGTGTTGCTTAAAGAGACAGCGGCTCACAAGGAACACAATCCTCCCTGTATTGTCAAAGACCTCACAACCTCTGAGGATGCTTGCCATAGATGCAGGCGAAACGTCAGGAGAGAATGCCTCCAGAACATGGCCATATAGCCCGAAAAAACCTACAACAACACAATCCTCCCTTTTTGCATTGCTTCCAGCGAGGAGGGGGAGGAAGAGGAGACGGAAGAGAAGGTTTCCTCTGCCCTCCTCTTCCACGGTATATATTTCCTCCTATTAATAATGGCTGACCATTATTTTGCCGTTTCCGGAAAGAAAAGTTTCTTTTGCCCCGACTTGGGAGAGCATCCTCTTCTCCTGTTCTCTTCCGAGGCCCAAACCGTCTCCTGCCGATCTATTAATAACGCTAACCAATATTGGCCCGATTCCTCGGTTAATGGCTGCGATGACGACGACTTGACTAATTGCCGCAATAATTGATAGAACCCGACTCCTGCACAAACGGGTCGATGGCCACCTCCAATAAAATATTATGGGTCAATAAATAACTCGGTGTCAGACCGCTCCGGCGCCCCGTGGCTTTCTGTCATCTTCGTGGAGGTGGTCACCGGCTTCCCTTCCGAGTCCGGCTTGACCCGGGGGCCTTTTGGTGGCAAAGGGGCAGCTGGCCCCAAAAGAGCCCCTTCCCCACCCGCTGAGACCGGCGTCAGGGCCATTTGTCTCCTCCCACGGACCATCTTTGGAGGGACAGCACACCTGGAGCCTCCGCTCATGGAAGTGGCCAGGCCCCCGGCCCCAGCTTATAATATTTGATAAATAGCCGGCCGGCTCCCTCCCAGCGCCACAAACACGGAGCCGCAGCAGCAGAAGCAGCAGCTGCGGAAGGTCACTCATTGGGGAAATATGTTTCTGTCGGTGGTATTGAAAAAAGTTTAGCCGAGTGACAGGTCTCAATTTTTCAAATTTTATTAACTCCATCCTCTTAATCATTTGTCTTGAATTCCTTCAGATAGCAGATAACTGTCAATACCAGGGGGGTGGGCTCCAGGAGGGGGTTATGGATGGGACGTGGATGCCTCTCGCTCCCGCCTGTTCAGAGGCTCTCAGGCAAAATGCGTGTTGTGTTTGTGTGTGTCCATGCCTTTGTCTTGGCTCATGGACACACAGTACACACCACCCTCAACACTCACCCACTTTCTGGGCTGGAAAAAGGAGGTGTCAAGCAATGAACTTACTTACTTACTTACTTAGGCGATCCTTCGTTGGCCGAGTAGGATAGTCTTCCAGGATCACAATTCTTGTGAGTCTGTAGGTGGCTGTGGAGCCCTATTGTTGATCTGCATCTTCTTCCGCAGTGAGGGTATTGGTTTCCAGGTGGAAGGCGGACTCGGTCGGGGTTGGCTTGACGCGCCTTCCTCTTGGCACGTTTCTCCCTTTCACCCTCCATTCGTGCCTCTTCAAATTCTGCAGCACTGCTGGTCACAGCTGACCTCCAGCTGGAGCGCTCAAGGGCCAGGGCTTCCCAGTTCTCAGTGTCGATGCCAGAGTTTTTAAGGTTGGCTTTGAGCCCATCTTTACATCTCTTTTCCTGTCTAACAACATTCCATTTTCCGTTCTTGAGTTCAGAATAGAGCAACTGCGTTGGGAGATGGTGGTTAGGCATCCTGACAACGTGGCCAGTCCAGCGGAGTTGATAGCGGAGGACCATCGCTTCAATGCTGGTGGTCTTTGCTTCTTCCAGCACGCTAATATTTGTCTGCTTGTCTTCCCAAGATATTTGCAGGATTTTCCGGAGGCAGCGCTGATGGAATCATTCCAGGAGTTGCATGTGACGTCTGTAGACAGTCCATGTTTCGCAGGCATATAGCAGGGTTGGGAGGACAATAGCTTTATAAACAAACCCCTTGGTCTCCCTACGGATGTCCCGGTCCTCAAACACTCTCTGCTTCATTCGGAAAAATGCTGTGCTTGCAGAGCCCAGGCGGTGTTGTATATGAATAGAGTTGGAAGACACCCCAAGGGTCATCAGTCCAAACCCCTTCTGCCAGACAGGAAGCCAACAAACAACCCAAGCCAGCAGACGGCAATGCACCCTGCATTAAAACCTCAAGAGGAGACTCCATTAACTCTGGGAAGGAATCATATTCCTATCATCAGAAAGTTGTTTCTGAAGTTTGAGGTGGAAACCTTTTGTCCTGCCATTTGAATCCATGGCTCCATTGTGCCCCAGTTTCTGAAGCAGCAGAAACAAGCTTCAGCCCCTCGTCTTCTATGAGGATTC